CTTATTTAGTTAGAACATGTGGTTTAAAATATTTTTAATATAAATATGCATATATTTAGTACACATAAGCATGTATTATATAGTTTATATATAATACACACACAGTAAATTTATACATAATTAAACATAAGTATGTAGGTGTTTTTCAAATAAGGATAAGGGTTACTTTATGGCACCTGAGACACAGAACTGGAGGGTACTGAAGCTATATTTTATATATAAAGAATATTTTTTTAAAATTACACCACTTTATACACTCAAAGATTAATGAAAGTCAGAAAATTCAAAAGCATGAATAAATGAATAAATTCTCAACAATGAAATACTGAAAGCTTCTCACATAGCATTAGGAACATGACAAGGAGGTCAACTTTTGGTCATTCTATTTATCATAGTACTAGATGTAGTAATCAGAGAAAACAGGCAAAGAAAAGAAATAAAGGTCAACTAAACTGAAAGAAAAGTAAATTATCTCTGTTCAAAGACAGCATGACATGATCTGCAGAAACCTCTAAAGATTCCACACACACCAAAACAAATAAGCAAAACATCAATTTCTTTGACATATGTAAAGATCTGATCCAGTCCAGAAAACACCTTTGAATAACAGAATAGAAATCGACGCACATTCTGACCTCTTGTCCCTGTGTTTGTAACTACTGACCACTTTTAGATATCACAACTTAAATAGCTCCTACTTGGAGAAAAAGATGAAATGAAATTAAAAGTGGCTTTGCAAAATGCAAATTCAGATTTTCATCGTTACCATGTACTGCTGACCATTCCTTCATTCTTTCATTCCATAAGCATTTACATCGACATACAAGATGGTACAGAGGTGTTGTGTAGCATATTAAGGTGAACCTGATATGGACAGACATCATGCCCTTGAGGGACGAATGAGCTGGTAGACCTATTACATAACGTAAGCCCTAGAAGGTGTCTGAGAGATCATCTCATTTTATAGAGATCAATGTTAAGAAGAATTAAGTGACTTCTCTGAGGTCACACAGTCATTTAGTTGTAGAGTTAAGTTTGAAAACCCCATTTAGTTTAATTAATTTATTTCTCAGTTAAGCTCTGTCTCCTACCTCATGTGACCATCCTTAACCACCTAAAGCTGGACCCATTTAAAGTAACTTTCAGCTTAAAATTCTATGGTTATTTTTAAATTAAAAACAACTAACTAAAAATGATTGAATTCTTATCAATAGGGGAATGGTTCAATAAATTCTGATAGCAGATTCTGGAATATTTTGTAGCTATTAAAATAATTTTTATACATGCATATATAATAGCAAGAAATTGGATCATACAGTCAAGAATTCTCCATAGATAAACATATCTGCATAAATTCATAGAAACATACAACCTACCAAACTGAGTCATGAAAAAAATAGAAAATAAGAACAGACCTATAAGGAGGAGATTGAATCAGTAATCAAAAACTCCCAAACAAAGAAAATTCTGGACCAAATGAATTCACTGGTAAATTCTACCAAAGATATAAAGAAAAATCATCAAATTCTTTCCCCAAAAAAAAATTGAAGAGGAAAAAACATTTCTAAACTCATTGTATGAGGCCAGCATTGCTCCAATACCAAAGTCAGACAAAGACAGGCTAAGCAAACTACAGAATATCTCCAATGAATGGTCATGAAGGAATAATCAACCAAAAGTTAGCAAACATAACTCAGTAGTACATAAAGGAATTGAAAACATGAGCATGATCAGCAACACCACAAACAACAGGTTTTGGCGAGGATGCAGGGGAAAAAGGAACCCTCTTACACTGCTGGTGGGAATGTAAACTAGTACAACCACTCTGGAAAAATTTTGGAGGCTACTTAAAAAGCTAAACATAGATCTACCATATGATCCAGCAATACCACTTTTGGGGATATACCCAAAAGACTGTGACACAGGTTACTCCAGAGGCACCTGCACACCCATGTTTAGTGCAGCACTATTCACAATAGCCAAGTTATGGAAACAGCCAAGATGCCCCACCACTGACAAATGGATCAAGAAAATGTGGTATCTATACACAATGGAATTTTATGCAGCCATGAAGAAGAACGAAATGTTATCATTCGCTGGTAAATGGATGGAATTGGAGAACATCATTCTGAGTGAGGTTAGCCTGGCCCAAAAGACCAAAAATCATATGTTCTCCCTCATATGTGGACATTAGATCAAGGGCAAACACAACAAGGGGTTGGACTTTGAGCACATGATGAGGCAAGAGCACACAAGGGAGGGGTGAGGATAAGTAAGACACCTAAAAAATTAGCTAGCATTTGTTGCCCTCAACGCAGAGAAACTAAAGCAGATACCTTAAAAGCAACTGAGGCCAATAGGAGAAGGGGACCAGGAACTAGAGAAAAGGTTAGATCAAGAAGAATTAACCTAGGAGGTAACACACATGCATGGGAAATTAATGTGAGTCAACTCCCTGTATAGCTATCCTTATTTCAAGTAGCAAAAACCCTTGTTCCTTCCTATTATTGCTTATACTCTCTCTTCAACAAAATTAGAGATAAGGGCAAAATAGTTTCTGCTGGGTATTGAGGGGGTGGGGGGAGAGGGAGGGGGCGGAGTGGGTGGTAAGGGAGGGGGTGGGGGCAGGGGGGAAAAATGACCCAAGCATTGTATGCACATATGAATAATAAAACGTTTTTAAAAAGAAACTAGAAAAAAATAAAAATAAAATAAATAAAAACATGAGCATGTGGGAATTTATTCTAGATGCATGATTGTGCAACCAGTGTATTGCACTACATTAACACAATGAAGGAAAAAATAACATACCTTAAGTGATGCAGAAAAAGCATTTGACAAAATTCAAAGCCCTTTCATAATTTAAAAAACACTCAATAAATTAGGATAGTAGGAAACTACCTCAATGTAATAAAAGCCTTTATCAAAATAATTCATCTAGCCTCATTCTCAACAATGAAAGACTGAAAGCTTCTCTCATAGCATTAGGAACACGACAAGGAAGTCAACTTTTGCCCATTCTATTTATCATAGTATTAGATGTAGTAATCAGAGAAAATAGGCAAGAAAAAGAAATAAAGGCCAACCAAATTTAAAGAAAAGTAAATTATCTCTGTTCAAAGACACCATGACACATGACATAATCTGCAGAAACCTCTAAAGATTCCACATACACCAAATCAAAACCTGTAAGAACTAATAAATGAATTTAGCAGAGTTACAAATTCAAAATCAATACGCAAAAATCACTATTAAATATAAATTTTCTACACACTAACTAACATAAACAATCCAAAAAGGAAATTAAGAAAACAATTACTTTTATAATAGCATCAAAAAGAACAAAATACTTAAATAAACGAGGGGAAACACTTGTACACTAGAAACTACAAAACATTACTGAAACAAAATAAAGAAGATGCAAATAAATGGAAAGGCATCCCATATTCATGGATCGAAAGACTTTATAATGTTAAGATAACAACACTACCAACAGAATCTATAGATTTAATGCGATCCCTATCCAAATCTTGATGGTGCTTCTACAGAAGCAGAAAACTGTCCAAAAATTCATATGGAATCAAAGCTTTCCCAAATGACAAAAGCAATCTTGAAAAAAAATAACAAACTAGTCTCACATTCTCTGATTTAACCAAAATCATGTAACCAAAACCATGCAGTAACCAAAACCATATGATACATAAAGACAGACATATAGAACAATGGAATAGAATATCCAGAAATAAATAAAATAGCCATTCATATAATCGAGAGAGTTTCTCTTCTTTGTTTTCTTTTTTGTTTTTGTTTTGAGATAGGGTCTTACTATGTATCCCAGGTTGTTCTTGACTCACTGTCCTCCTACCTTAGCTTCCCAAGCGCTGGGAATACAGATGTGTGCCGCTACCCTCAGCTCAAAAGAGTTTCAGCAAGGATGGTAAAGACCATTTTTAAATGGTTAAGATTGTTAATATAAATGGATAAAATTATTTAAATGGTTAAGATTGTTAATATAAATGGATAAAATTATTAATATAAGTTTATATTGTGGACATTTTCCTACAATTAAATTTTTTAACGTATTATTTTTTAAAATTTAAATGTGTATGAGACCCAAATTTCATTGGCATAGAAGATGTGTGTGTACGTATGCTTGTTTATATCTGCAGAAGCAGGAGTAAAGGAGTCAAAAGTATTCACCAAACTGCTGAGATTGATTACCTCTGGAATGCTAGTTTTGGAAAGGATGTATGTGTTAGGGGACAAAATAGTAATGTTTTATATGACTCTGTTTGACTTGTAACAATGTGCACCCATTACTAACAAATATTGTGAATTTAACAAGGTCAGAAAACAATTTATAGACAAAAGCCATTAAAGGCTTCAGTTAGTAATATGCACATTGGTAACTGAAGGCAAGGATAATAATTAGAACTCAAAGGCTCCTATAACTTGCACAAACTGATCGTAGAAAGGTAGACTTGTTCAGATGTTGATGAATCAATAGCTTATGGTTTGATGACACTTTCCAAGTGTGAACAAATTGATAATGAAATCATAATCATGATTGAGTGACCACTTGGGAAGAAAATGTTTGGTTCAGATAAACCGTGTCTAAAGGTTATTGAAGGTCAGATATGAGGAAGGGACCCAGCGCAATGTTTGGCTCAAGTCTAGTCTGCCATGTGACTAAAATAAACAGACAGTGCTGTGATTGGCTTCCACGATGCACCTTCACTTAGTCCAGAGGGCAAAGAACTGTGATGAGGCTTAATTGAACATTGACTAAAGCAGACAATTAAAATGCTATTTATAGTTTTCTCAACAACTCAAGCACTGACCAATCAAAGACTCACCTTGCAATTGGCATCAAGGAAAAATGCTAAATGTTAGATAAACATGCAGCTCTAGGGAATATATAAAAGGCCAAGAGTAGAAGGCACAGTCAAAACTCAGAAACTTCTCTTCACAATACAAGTCTCAACCTGACTCCTGACAACATGGCCTGCTGCTCCACAAGCTTCTGCGGGTTTCCCAGCTGCTCCACCAGTGGGAACTGCGGCTCCAGCTCCTGCCAGCCAAGCTGCTGCCTGGCCAGCTGCTGCCAGCCAAGCTCCTGCCAGCCAAGCTGCTGCCAGTCCAGCTGCTGTCAGCCAAGCTCCTGCCAGCCAAGCTGCTGCCTTACCAGCTGCTGCCAGCCAAGCTCCTGCCAGCCAAGCTCCTGTCTGACCAGCTGCTGCCAGCCAAGCAGCTGCGGAACCAGCTGTGGCACTGGGGGTGGCATTGGCTGTGGGCAGGAAGGTGGCTGTGGGGCCGTGAGCTGCCGCGTCAGGTGGTGCCGTCCAGACTGCCGTGTGGAGGGCACCTGCCTGCCCCCCTGCTGCGTGGTGAGCAGCACACCCCCAACCTGCTGCCAGCTGCACCATGCCCAGGCCTCCTGCTGCCGTCCATCCTACTGTGGACAGTCCTGCTGCCGCCCAGCCTGCTGCTGCTACTGCTGCCAGCCCACCTGCTCTGAGCCTGCCTGCTGTGAGCCCAGCTCTTAAGAACCAGGTTGCTGATTCCTTGAGAATGAGAGGGGAAGCACAGCAAAACTGCACTGATTTCTAAAGAAGTGCTCCATTTGATGGAAGTTTTGTGCTGCTGCTGAGCTGTTCATAAATAATGAAACTCTTAGTCAGGATCCCCATAGATGGCTAAATTAACTCACCGAAAACATGTCTCCATCAGCGTGCTCTAGAGAACTTCCTTTGCTTGAGCAATGCACCAGGATGGGGTTATTCATTTTAGTGACATCTCTACTTCCTTTACTATCTCTTACTCCCCAATATCTTCAGGCCTGCTTTCTACTTGAATATCCCCTCTTACCTTCAAATAAAATGTTTTGATGTACAAAGCAAACAGAGTTATGTCCTTCTTCTACCTTTAAGCTGTCCACTTACAACTGAAATTCAAGAAGAGTGGATGTGGATTTTTATAATAATCCTTAGGCACAAACATATACTCTGAAGCAGAAAGGTTTATATAAATTAAATTATGCTTGAATCTGTCTGCTAATCATCTTCATGGTTACCCAAATACTTACATGCTCTTTTGTGGTTTGGTCTAGAACACCGTCAACCTTAGCTAACATTTTCAGATTGATCAAAACTGTGGTTCGCCACCATGCCTGACTTCTAAATGTACTTCCACCATATGCAATCTCTTCTCATTTAAGATATTAGATATTCTCCTTCATTCATGTCCAACACAAAACACTATTATTATCTACCAAATATATTTTTATAACATCTATCAATACTACATGTTCTAAGAGTATTTAGGTTTAATTCCCATGTCTCAGTGTGTCTCCTTCTTCCCACTGATCCCCAAATTTCTCTCTAAGCTTCAACTCTCAATAGTCACCTTCATTTACTGTGTATCTAAAGTATATCTCTAGTCCAAATGAGAGTAGAACAGCTATGGCTTATACCTGGTAGTTCTACCCTCCCACAACACACAAATGCACCAGAAATCTGAAACAGCAGTATCATGATTTGTAATTTGCAACCCAACTGAAAAATGGTCTCTAATGAAGTTAACACAAACTTATAATAACAAGGAATAGCTTTTACCACTTAATTTTTAATGTTTTTAAGCATTTGGCAAAACTATAGAAAGTACAAAAAGACATAAATATAGGAAAACCCAAGAAAAATATTTTTCGAGCGATTTACAAGCTCCCAGCACTTACCCAGCTCATTTAATTGGTAGCAATGATGGATCACATGCAAGATGGTGCACTTCAGAAAGGAATAAAGTTGATGGCAATGCTTTCTTCAAAATGTCATAATTCCTGATGTTTTTCCTGAGCTTTGGGTCGACTATTAAGTCCAGGCAAAAATAATTCAACACCCACTAGTCTCTTTTTTACAACAAATAACAAGTGTCCTACATGGGAGGTACTACAACTTGAAAGTTTTATTTAACCATTTATGGGTGGCACAGGCATCCATGAATCATGCCTTTTACTGCACCCACTCAATAAACATTTTTTGAATCAGATTCAGTAAATATTTATTAAGATTCTACCAGAAGCTAACCATTGTGTTGGATACCTTCATATATACTGTCATTTGGTTCACAAGAAAAGGTTTCTGGTCTGGAACCAAGAAAAAGATTCGCACATTTCAAATTGGCTGAAATCAAAGAAACTACATAATGGTCATTTGATATAATGTTGGAGTAAATGAGGGGGAAGCTTTAATTACATATGAGCAAAGGTATTCCTTGAGTTCAGTGACTATTCTAATGTTCTAAATTCAGTGGAATTCAGTCTGTATTCTAGGAGGGAAAGACAATGCTTAAAAACAGTGCAATTGCCCTTGGTTTTAGAGGTCTGCATAGATTATTGAGTGGAATGACTACTATTCAAAATGAGGGTGCTGACTTGATCTAAAAAAGGGGAGGACTCTTTGAACATGGGAAACCACAAACATTCTAAAGAGCAAAGGGTTGAAATAACGAGTCCCGGTAACCTTATAAAACAAAGTAATTCCCAAACTGCTGGTCATAATGTGACATAAGTATTTCTGTGGAAGCCAATTGGAAGTGCAGTGAGGGGCAAATTTAAACAAAAACAAGAAAAATATGTCAAGAATTTTTTAAACAGCCGCTAAAAGCCGCTGGCTCAAATATATAAGAGGCCTCATGTGGAAGTCACCTCCAAAACTTAGAAACTCTTCCAAGAGGCTCAACTCTCAACCCAACTCCTGACACCATGGCCTGCTGCTCCACTAGCTTCTGTGGGTTTCCCAGCTGCTCCATTGGTGAGAACTATAGCTCCAACTTCTTCCAGCCAAGCTGCTGCCAGAGTGGCTTTGGCATTGGAGGTGGCATTGGCTGTGGCCAGGAGAGTGGCTGTGGAGCGGTGAGCTTCCGTGTCAGGTGGTGCCGCCCAGACTGCCGCGTGGAGGGCACCTGCCTGCCCCCCTGCTGTGTGGTGAGCAGCACACCCCCAACCTGCTGCCAGCTGCACCATGCCCAGGCCTCCTGCTGCCGCCCATCCTACTGTGGACAGTCCTGCTGTCGCCCAGCCTGCTGCTGCTACTGCTGCCAGCCCACCTGTTAAGAGCCAGGTTCTTGATTCTCAATATCCCAGGATGGAATAATCTCTAAACTGTTCATCTCCTTGACCACCCCTGAACCACTAACAAGTTCTGAGACCTCCATTTCATTTTCTAGTATGGGGGCAACCAAGTATATGAGCATTACAGCTCTGATTCCATTCTGTAAGGAATACCTTGACCCTCCACTGTAGACCCAGAAATGCTGTGAACCCACCTTCTGGTCATCAAATTGCTCCATATATACTACTTCTGATACTCTTGCAGGATTGAAAATCGACATGCTATGAACTATATCCATCAGAATGGTCTACAATTCTATTTTCCCCCTGCTTTGTGATCTCTTTTTATCTTCTCTTTACCTAAAAATTTTTCCAACATCAAAGGCACCAGAATACAGCCCAGTGACATTCCTCAGATGTCAAAGAGAATGAGGGCTGTTCTCTCAACATCCAGCTTCTAAGAAGGAGACTGGGCATTTCCGAATTTCAACATCTGACCCATCTCTTGCTTTTTGGATCACAGTGATCTTTCCTGTTGGCTATTTCAATTATATCTATGGCATTGTGTCTTCTGATGTTTCTTAATAAAGGTTATATACTAGGCAAAGAAACCAAAGACTTTTTATTCCTGGATCTAATGGTATAACTGTTTATAATTCAAGAGTCTACTTGAAAGAATGCATTTGCTTCTTTTCTAAAGAGACTGAAATCATTCACAATAGATCATTTACTCATGCAATAACACTCTATTATCACTTCTACAATAGAGATTATGGAGATCAAGAAAATGAAGTGTTAATTTTTATCCTTGAAATCCTTATTATCCGGAAAGAAAAAAAGTGTTTTAAAATAACTACATAAAATATAATGAGATAAGTTGTATTCTTAGCATATAATTAAAAAATCCCTCTTAGGGGAATAGATGCCTTTGTGGTCAATATGCTTTGATAAGTCAACTTACAATAGGGTACCTTCCAATACCAAAAGCCTAAGAATATTGGTATCCCCAATAAAGTTATAGAAACAGAAAGACACAGGACTGTCCAATGAAACTTAAAGAGCAATTGGCTAGGTCTCTGGAGCCTTCCTTTTTAGGTAAAATGATGTTCTTTGGTGGTACTCCCATTTCCTCTTCACCACAAGTCTTCTTATTTGAAACACAGATCTGATGCCTAGAGCTACAAAATCCCAAGAGACTCAAAGAAATACTGATCCTGACATAGATGAACTTCTGAACCAATGCTAGCAGATGGCTGTGAGAAGAATGAGCTCTATTTGATCAAGACAGTATTAATTGCATTTTTCCAAAACTTGGAACCAAGAATGTTCTTAACTATTATATGATGCAATCCACTGCAGTAAACTGTCAACATGGTAATCTACATGTGACACCTAAAAATATCAAGGCATATAAACAGTTCAATGATGAAAAGAACAAAAATTTCAAATTCCAAAGCAAAAGTGAAGACTTTTTTGGGGGGTGGGGGGCTTTACTGCAGTTTGAACTCAGAGCTTCAAGCTTGCTAGGCAGGAATTCTACTACTGGAGCCACAACTTCAGCCTTTATTTCTTTGGTTATTTTGGAGATAGGATCTCACTTTTTTACCCAAGGCAGCCTGGATCTTAATCCTTCTATTTTGGGTTGACACCCAACTATTTTTTCCATTGAGATGGTAGTCTCATGAACTTTTTTGCTCTAGCTGGACTAGAACTGTGATCCTCCTGATCTCAGCCTCCTGAGTGATCAGGAGGATCACTTGGAATGATAGGCAGGTGCCACCACACCCAGCTATTAATTGAGATGGGGTCTCATGAACTTTTTTCCCCAGGCTGGCCTGGAAACACAATCCCCAATCTCAGCCTCCTGCTGGTGGAGTGGCTCAAGTGGTAGAGAGCCTGCCTAGCAAGCATGAGGCCCTAAGTTCAAACCCCAGTACTGCTAAAAAAAAAAAAAAAAGCCATAAAAACACTCTCAGTCTCCTAAGTAGCTAAGGTTACAGGTGTGAGCCACTGGCACCAGGCTGGGAGCATTTCTTCAATGGAGGGTCACTGCCGTGGGAATGTCGATGAAAAAAAAGGAGGTGGGTAGATTACAATATTAAAGCATAGGGATAGAATGAAAAGGGGGAAAAATAACAAAATAGAGGAAAAAACAGAAAGAAGACACAATGAAAAAGGCTAGAGGACAAGAAGCAGAAAGAGAAAAAAGGAAGAATGATGAGAAAGAGAACGAGAAGGGAAACGATGGGAACCAACGTGGACTTGTCAGTACTGTAAACTGTGCTGCTTGCTAATTCTTGGAATTAATACTTCCTGCAAGCTTTATTTCACACAACTCTAAACCAGTCCTGTGAAATAGACATTGTTATCCTGACTTGTAGATTGGTAAAAATAAGTCTGAAAGAGCTTAAATATCTTGCTTACAGTCCCATTGCTCTTAAGAAAAAAAAAAAAAGGTAAAATCTGAACCCAATTCTGACTCCACAATTCATGAAGAGAGAATTAAAGTAAGGAACTAGAAGTAAAACATGGCTGGGTTCACGAGATTTAAAAACAGCTTCTGGAAGTTATAGGCTTCAGAATAAGTTACTCCATGGTAGCTGTTAAGTTGCAAGCTTACAAATTCACATTCTTCTGTACTCAGCTTTGTGATGCTAGTGATAGACTCTGAAAACCAGAGTGCCGCTTTTCTAGAGGTCACATGGTAGGCTTTGCTCAAGCCAGCACCCATCTCAGAGTTCTGAACTCGGGTCCATTCCAAGTTCAGGGAACACCAGAAGAGACCAAGAAGAAATATAATGGTCAGCTCTGCAAGACTCTTCCTCTAAATTTATATATTTTAATAGCTTCTGATTCTTCTATGCCTGTTGCTGCTACTTCCATGATAACCTGGAGTCTTCCTTTTACTTTTTAAATTACCCAGTTAATAGCTCTTATACCTAGTTAAAAATTCTTTATATCAAATTCTCTCTGCTCAAATAATTGGCATGGCTTTTTTCTCCTCACCTGACCCTAACTAATACAAAAGTGGTACCAGGAGTGGTCCCAGAAAGTAGACTTTTAAAGAAGGGATTTGGTGGTTGTTTTGATACAGTCCTGGAGCATGAAAACAGTGCTAAACTTCTTGTCAACTGAAAATGGCACCACATTATTTTTTTGGTTAGGTGGGGGAATTATTCGTTTATTTTCAAGACAGTTTTACTATGGAGCCCAGGCTGGCCTCAAACTCTCAATCTTCCAAGATAAACACCCAAGTTCTAGGATTACAGGCATACACCACCACGCCCAGATTGGCTGATTTTTCTTTTTCTTTTTTTTATTGTTTTATTATTCATATGTGCATACAACGCTTGGGTCACCTCTCCCCCCTGCCCCCACCCCCTCCTTTACCACCCACTCTGCCCCCTCCCTCTTCCCCCCACCCCCTCAATACCCGGCAGAAACTACCTTGCTCCTATCTCCAATCTTGTTGAAGAGAGAGCACAAGCAACAATAGGAAGGAACAAGGGTTTTTGCTAGTTGAGACAAGGATAGCCATACAGGGAGTTGACTCACACTAACTTCCCGTGCATGTGTGTTACCTTCTAGGTTAATTCTTTTTTATCTAATCTTTTCTCTAGTTCCTGGTCCCCTTTTCCTATTGGCCTCAGTTGCTTTTAAGGTATGTGCTTTAGTTTCTCTGCATTAAGGGCAACAAACGCTAGCTAATTTTTTAGGTGTCTTACCTATCCTCACCCCTCCCTTGTGTGCTCTCGCTTTTATCATGTGCTCATAGTCCAATCCCCTTGTTGTGTTTGCCCTTGATCTAATGCCCGCATATGAGGGAGAACACACAATTTTTGGTCTTTTGGGCCAGGCTAACCTCACTCAGAATGAAGTTCTCCAATTCCATCCATTTACCAGCGAATGATAACATTTCGTTCTTCTTCATGGTATTTTTTAATAAAGTACCCAGTGAAGCAAATAACTTGAGGACCCAAATGGCAACTGCCCTTGACTCTCACGACAGTCATGATGATTACAAGGCTGTGGAGGAGAGTGTCTTCTTCTGACTGTGCTTCGGTGCTTTCAGAAGGAAAATGACAAACTCAAGATCTTAATATCTGAGGTCAATTCATAATCATAGATCCAGAAAAGATTCAATGGAAATTCTAAAACATCATTAGTTTCCTGTAGCCATAGAACTGATATTGCCACAAATTGAACAGTAAATGCAATTTTAAGGGTTACACAATTGGAAATTCGATGAATGACTCTCATCTAGGGATCAAGTCTTCTTCCAAGCTCATTGTTTGTTGCAGGATCCAGTTTCTTCTTATGTTTTCCCATAGCCCCCTCCATCTTCAAACCAGCAATGTCAAGTCAAATTATTTTTGTCATTTGAATCTCCCTGGTTTCTCCCTCTGTAGTATGTCTCTGGCTTCTTTCCTGCTCTCGGCTGGGAAAAACATTCCTCTCTTTAAGGACTCCTATCATGAGCAGTTCTTTATGAAAGAACAGCTTTCCTTTCTGGAATGATGGAGCTATCCATTTTAGGTTGTGCCAGTGCATCATTTGGAACTATCTGTAAACCATATATTTTTCCTTCTCAATGAATCAATCATGAGGAATATTCATGACGCCAAATACATGGGCTGGAGGAAGTGGAGACAGTGCACCAAGGGCTGATGCCAAAAGGTTTTGGGCCACTGCTCTTTCCATTACTTCCACTGTCCGAATATGCTCAAACCTCACCTCCTGGATAACATTTCTACTTTAATACCATGATCTTGTGCACACCCAATCTTTTTTAAACACATTTTTATTAGGATATATTCATGATACAGGGGGGTTTCATAGTGACAATTCCAATTAGACTTATATTGTGCATTATTTACATTGCCCCCATCATGTCTCCCCCTCAGCCCCCCGCCACACACTGTGCCTATTTCACAGTCCTGGTTTCATAATTAATATTTGAGTTGACATTCAAAGGGATATCTCAATATATGCCCTCTGTGGGT